ATATTGTTGTGGAACTAGTATCAATACCTAAAGGTAATAATATAAATATTAATTACATATTAATTAACATTAGTAAATTAAAAGTGGTAATAAGGTATTTAATTCACAGAAAAAATATATTATTTATAGATTTTGAACGATCAGTTGACTATGCTGGGTTGGTTATCTGGAAACTTGATGACGTTCCAAAACTATTAAAAATTCAAGGTATAACATTTTATTTACGTGGCATAGTGGCTTTTAATGATTCAAACAAATTCAACCTAAGAAATCCGGTTGGTCATTACATTGCATACTGCTACAGATCCAATAGGACATGGGAGTGTTATGATGATACCAAAGAGAAAATGAAAATATGTAAACCAAACACCATGGTAAACATAGAACTTTTATTTTATACATTGTAAACTAATTTATGTTTAAGTTCAATATGTTGTATTTCTTTATTTTTTTTAAGTATAATATTTCATAATATTGTACAAATGATGTTGACACTTTAACAGTAACGTAAAATATTGTAATATAATATATAATATATATAAAATAGTGTTAAAATGTATTTTAAATCATCCATTGAGGAAAACTGGCCCGATTTGGCTCATTCTTTTTTTGTTGTGTTTGTAATTGTCAGGACATGGTTCTTATGAAAGACAATTTTAGGAAAATCCACCGGAAAAACAGGAAACGTCAAATATACAACAGTGGCGTCATTTGTCCAAAAGAAAATAAACTAAATAATAAAAATATTAAAAGTGGCATTCGGGGACTGCCGCGATAAAGCTATTGCATATTAAATAAATAAGAAGTTGATATAATTTTAAATTTTTTATTATTCTATTTATTTAGGAATTTGTATCATAGAAACTATAGTTTATGTTTTTATTGCTATAATATATTATATTTTATATATATTATTATAAATATATAAAATTAATATTATATTATTATATATTATATATTTATATATAAAATTAATAATATATTATTATATATTATATATTTATATATATAAATTTATTGCTATAGCAACCCATAACAAAACCATTATATTTATAAGCGCTTGATGTTCATAGCCGTTGTTATTTAAAAATAAATATCTGTTATCAAAATTAAATTATAATTTAGCTATGCGTTGCTATGGTCACCAGGTTGCTATAGTATGTATAAATAAACAAAGTGGTCACGCTTTTTCGTTACGAAAAATTTTTTTTCAGTCACTACACCAGACCTGCGATAAAAGCTATGCAATAGCTTAAAAAAATTGTTTATTATTGCAGATTAAAATAATAATAGTGTATTATATATTGGTTAATCGGGCATGTTGATTTGTATAATTGTATTATTATTTTTTGTCAATATAATATATTATAATATATTAAATATATATATATATATAAATTAATGTTTGTGTGTAGAAGATAAGCTAATTTAAAAAGGGGTTAAATTTGTTTTTATTTTATTCATCGGATTTTAGTATGGTTAGGCAATAAGTTATATGTTAGGATTTTGTATTAATGGATTATATTAATCCACCATAGGTGGAATGAAGTAAAAACGACAAACATGGTATAACTTTGATACTTTAGAGTTAAATCATACACTTCATAGGCGTGCGCACAGGGGGTGTCTGGGCCCCCCGGACCATTTACCAAAAACGACAAGGGCCCTAATTGTTAATAAAGTGTAAACCTAACCATCAATTTAGGGGTACATTTTGTATTACAAATACCAAATCTTGAGTTACAACTTATTACAAATTGGTTACTAATTATCTAAAAAAAAAAACAACTCCAAAAAGTGTCTTTAATACTAAGGTAGTTTTTGTAATATTTTCGTTCATTCTATCAATTGATGACGAATGAGAATGTGTACACCTGATAAATACACCATGTTGTATAAATACATAAAATATTAAACCTTAAATCGTGGTAGTATCTTGGTAAAACAAGGACATATTAATTATTTAACCTCAAGTTCATGATAACATGGCTTGATTAACAAAATATGATTATTTGAAATCATAGTTAACTCATTAGTCATTACTCACATTCACATAGGTATTTAAATCAATAGGCATTAAAAATTAAAATAATAAGCTTTTGTCAATAAAACATAATAAATATTAAATACCCAGTAGGTTCCTATAATCATGATAGTTTAGAATTATATAAATAATACTACAAATAATAAATTAAAATACTTACCTTGCAATAAATAGTATATTATTTAATTATTAAACATTTAAAACTTGTTCAAAAATCAAAAGTAACATAGGTTATCTCTATTTTTATAAAAATAGTAAAATACAACACAAATTAAAAAATAATTAAGAAATAATTACTTAATTTTACTTTTAGGTAGGAAATTCCACTTTTCGCAAAACAATACCATGGAATAAATCTTCAGTGTAAAAGTATGAAATTTAACTTTTGGGGTCAACCCAACACCCCTAACACTGGACCGTCGATTCAAGGGATGCAATTTATTTTACAAATTCCAAATCTTGCGTTTTAAATTATTACAAATTGTTTACTAATTTTAAAACTAATTTTAATTTTTAAATGAAAGGGTGAAATTTGACTTTTAACGACGTCAGCTCAGCACCCCTAACACTGCAACGTCGATTTAAGGGTGAAATGTTGTGTTACAAATTCCAAATCTTGCGTTACAAATTGTTACAAATTGTTTACTAATTTTCTAAACAAAAAAAAGTGTGAAATTTCAATTTCGGGCGCTGGGCTGACGTCAGCTCAGCACCCCTAACACTGGAACGTCGATTTAAGGGTGAAATTTTGTGTTACAAATTCCAAATCTTGCGTTACAAATTGTTACAAATTGTTTACTAATTTTCTAAACAAAAAAAAGTGTGAAATTTCAGTTTCGGGCGCTGGGCTGACGTCAGCTCAGCACCCCTAACACTGCAACGTCGATTTAAGGGTGAAATTTTGTGTTACAAATTCCAAATCTTGCGTTACAAATTGTTACAAATTGGTTACTAATTATCTAAAAAAAAAAAAGTACGAAATTTCAATTTCGGGGTGCCAGGCTGACGGAGCTTTAGGTATATTAAATTTCAGGTATCTATATGGATGGATTCTAAGTCATACTCAAATGTAATAAGTTGCTTTATTTTAGTAACTATTGTATAGGTAGGTACTTATTTAATAAGAAGTAAATTTGAGAAGAATGTCTTTAACCCTCATAATTAATTTCCAAACCCAAGAGATACAACTTTGGGCGCCCAAAATTAAGACTTATAAGTTATAACATTGTAAATACACTACAGGTACAACTGATTTTCATTTATTGATATTTTGTAAAACAAGTTGCTCAATCCATTTATTATTATTATATTATTTATATTATGTTAAGACACATTATTATGAAGGCAAATTCCCAAATAATTCAATGCTTTAAAAACATTAACAATATATTATATGAGCAGCATAGGCGCAATTTCAACTTTTGACTTAAGACCCCGGCTGAATATATTAAAAGGAAGCAGACCATTGCAATATAGCATATTAAAACTGTATGTCCTAGGTTTTTTTTTTTTGGGGGGGGGGGGGGCTATGGCTATGTTTGGAGAGAGGTTTAGCACCCCCCTCCAATTTGTGCCTATGATGAGCAGTTGTCATAAGAATGCACTTAAAATATATGCACTAGTTGTTTTTACAATCCTGCATTCAAAATTAAAAAAAATCTAAATAACTTCTAACCTTAGCACATGACAAACCTTTAATTTTAATTGTAAATTCAGGGATGTAGATAAATCCTAAGTCACTGTCTAGAGATATATATGTTATAATGATCATATTAAATATTAAAATATATATTTTTCTTATAATGTATAGTAATACATTACTTTATTTTAGTAAGTGCCCTAGACATTTTGGAATGCAACAAAACATACAGAATTTTTATAATTTTGCGTGATAAAACTGATTTGAATATATGAATAAATTACTAAACTGCATTATGACTGCATGGGTTTTCAAGGTAGGCACTCTAAATTTTCACTATATTTAAATATGGTACAACTTCTACCGTGCAAAAAAATTAATAATTGTTTATAAAGTATTGCGGGTTTTAGAGCAAATCAGCAGTTTTCCTGAACGGCGGTAATTATTACCGATTTGGATATGTTGATATATTACTGAACTGCGTTATAACAGCTTGGGCTTTGGCGGTAGGAACTTGAAACTTTCAAGGTATTTAAATACGGTACAACTCATACCGTGTATAAAATTTCATAATTTTTGGTTAAGTTTTTTGGATTGTGATATTTCTGCAACAAGTAACCTGGAGGTGAACACCCACGGGACAACCTGGAATTTGGTAGGGAGTTGTATGGGGGTATTATAAAGGCCCTTGTGGAGTTTCAACCCATTCAGACCTTGTCTGCCCATGCTACGGCCCTAAATCAGCAGATTAGTAAATTAGGTCAACCCCCAAACTTGTGCCTATTTTTTGTTTATAGCATAAAAAAAATGTACAACCTTATATTTTTGCTGTAATTACCACACCAAAATTGGGGCCAAATCCTCACTGTCCTACCACATCATTGCATCAACGTCATCTTTTTTCATAGTTCAAGATCTTTTGATTTTCATCACAACTTAGTCATGATATTTTTTTTAATATATTAAGTGTTGACATTTGTATATTTTATATTGTGTACTTAAATGTGGTTTGGCCGGTTTGGGATGTGTGAATTTGGTCCTAACTTTAAATAAATAATACCTAACTAGCTCAATATTTTGTATTTTTTTTCACTTTTTCAAGGATATACAGCTAGTTTTATAAATACTAATTTTAATGATTGTATGTTAAATGATACAATTTTTTATTATGAATATTTAGCTTAAAATTATAAGGAAGCCAAAAAAAAATAAAAATAAAAAAATAAGACAATTTAAATATTAATGAACAATTTACAAAAATAATAGTTTTAAATAGAATCTGTAGTTTTGTAAAAGTTTATGCTAATATAATATTATTTACATTTTTTCAAAAATTTCATGAAATCCACAAGAAGTGCAAGTACGTTCATAATTATCTTCTTCTTCATTGTATATTTCTGTATCATATTCATGTTGATGAGAAGCTTTTGTGACTTTGGTATATAAACTACTTCTAGTTGACATTCTTAATTCTGAAATAAATAACCATATATCATATGATAATAATCATGTATCATTAACAGTTGAGGGATGGACTACAACATCAGTTCTAACGACTAACGAGCACAGTTGTTGGTTCGAATCCCTTCCACGGGTGGCATCCCCCAACCGGACATGGTAGAAACCTACGGGTGCCCAAATAGAAATTCTGCCAAATAAAACTTAGGCCTTAAGGCCAATCCCAGACATAGCGCCATACAAAAAAAAATCATTAACAGTTACGATATATTCATATAAACCTTTGACTTTTTTCTTAAACGTTTTTAACTTTGATGCCTTTTGCTTTTCTTGTTTTAATTCAATTTGTCGTTCCACTTCTTCTTCAGAACCCCAAACTTCTAATGCTCTTTTTTCTACCTATAAGCAAGGAATATTGTTCACACTTGTTTTTTGTTACTATATCAAAATTATCTACCCACTTACTTGAAGTAAAAGATACAATTTCATTTCACCCCATCTGGAATTGTGTGGATTTTTGCCCAGAATAAACCTAAGTGGAGGTGAGCGCAAATCAATATCACAATCTTTTAATAAATATTCTTTTTTAGCTTCTGTCTTGGTAATTAAATCAAATTTTTCTTTTCCAAATTTCTCCCTGTTAAAACCAAATTATGATTATGTATAAATGGGAAATATTTAACTATATAAAATTATACAATTATACAATTTACAATGTAACTTAAATTCTAATAGATTCTGTAAACATTTTTAGTGGTAATTATTTAAAAGTTTTTAAACTATAATATACTAAATTATAATCTATTTTTTTTTTAACTTAAATTTATATGAATATTACATACTTGCATCTATCACATACAGAATGGTCAAAATTTGTCATTAAATAAGAAATACCAAATTCGTGATTACATTCAAGACATATAGGCTGTTCAGTTTTTGATAATATTGGATTTGCCATTGATGCTAGTACTATCTAAATTAAATAAATCATACAAATATTAGTTTCAAAAATGTACTCGGTTTAACCTAAATAATAACTAACAATATAATATGTACACTATATCTAAGTAAAAATTATAGGTAGGTTACATTTGTAAAATGTAACCTACCGAGGTTATTTTAAGTTATAGATAGCTGGAATTGATACATTTTTTTTATCTCAGGTTCTTATAAAACTACAGTAGTACATGGCGGGCTTCAGTGGCTTTTAGACTTTGGTAAATTAAAAAAATATAAGCATTACCTACCGGCTACCTTACATCTGCAACTACATGACATGTACAATATGTACAATGGCTAAATATGTATTATACTCTAATATACCCATATTAATACATATTTATGTTAATAAGTGCATTGCATATACATTTACAAATTAATTTCATTAAATTTCAAGTGACCTAAGAAGTGATCTTATAAATTATATATTAATATTAAACTCCATCGTTTATCATACCGGGTTTTTTTTTTCTGATAGATCATCCTCGTTAAGCAGAAATCCAGCTTCTGTGTCTACGTATGATTGACCGGCAACTGTGATTTGAAGACTTTTATCAATCTTTGACTGTTGTAATATGGGTCTTCAACCATAAATGTTAATTATTAAAAGTTGGAGTATGTAACAGTTATTAATATGTATTAATTAAAGTATATATTTTTAAAACAAATTGGGCCGGACACGTATGGAGAGCAAAAGACCAACTTTTATGGACCATCACGAAATGGAAACCGAACAAAAGTCGACCGAGAGGAAGGCCTAGACAATGGTGGGAGGATCGATTCAAGGAAGACAACAGGATGCTGGGAGTCATGAATGGAGAGGAACTGGCAGAACATAGAGAATCATGGAGGGAGATAGTGGAAGCAGTTATGGGCCTAAATGGCCTAGAATAAACCGGAAAAAAAAAATAATTTTTTAAAACAGATCACATACTTTTGGTAAGGTTGTACAGTTGATCTAGCTTTTGATTTTTCATGTCTTATTAGCAATGCTTTTTTCCTATTTTCTTCTATACGTTTCCTTTGATCGTCTGTAAGTTCCATTTTAAACGGGGATTCGAATATGAAATATTATAATTATTGTAATTCTGTTGTTTACAGTGGACAGTGGTTGCTGCCAAAAAATAGTTTTAGAAAACAAGAGTTCTGGTAATATAGCATTAAAAATGAATAAAAAATAAAAAATTAGATTTTATTGTTATTTATTCATGATTGTGAATGACTACTACCATATCGTATACTATGGACGATTACATTTACGTAGAACATAGAAAATAAATAATAATTTTATGTTCAATTATTATTGCATTATTTCGTATAAGTTAATAATAAATAATTTTTTAATACCAAAAAATAAAGTAAAGTAAAAATGGAAATAATGAGAGAACTATTTTTTTTTTTTTAAAAGAAGTCTGAAGACGGTTACAGTGTTGGTAGTATTCCTACACTAACTATAGTCTACTAAGTTCAAGTCATGACAAATTCGTCATGGTACAGGTAACAACCATCAAGTACCAAGACATCAACTTACTATCAACTATCAAGTAACTACTATTTAGTATTTATTTTTTATTTTTTATTAAGAAGTTTATCGTTATCAGGGGCCTACCAGTTACCGTGGAATAACTGGCACTACCACAAACCAATTTTCTGTACTCGAAACGGTAGACGTAAATAAATAAAAACGGAATTTTGTGAGAAATGCTGAAAATGTTGCTCAGCTTGGACGGTTTTTTGATAATACGAAATAAAATCATTATCTGAGAAACTCAGAAAACACAAAATTGTCCAGCTGTGTTGCAGGCTGGTGGTTGTACACTTGTACACTCCGTCTATACTATACGGGCAGTCAAGTCGGTGATGCTTACATATTGATTATAAAATATAAATTCTATATTGCCTTTGTCGTCGCCCGTCGTTAAGAGGCTTTCAGGTTCAATGATAAAAATTGTTCTTGAGTTGGAGATTTGTGAAATGATTCTTTTCAGTGGAGATTTTCCTGAATAGGAGATAAATTGAACGAGGTAAGCGTTTAAAGATTCTGCCCTTTGCACTCACTCTCTCTCACACTCACTCATTCTCTCACTCTCTATCATTCTCTCTGTCTCTACTTGGATGAAACTATGACGGTACGGATCATAATATTATATTACCTATATGTTATTATTATAAATAGTTAAAAGTCTGATATTTAATATTATGTTGTGTTTTATTTAATGCTTAAATAATATTTAGAATCGTTTTTATTTTTACAATATTATGTTTTTCGGAAGGAATATGAATTAAATATGCTATATTTCAACTTGAATTTATTTAATGAAAGATTGTAATTTTGTTATATTAATTATTAAGCCTAAATAGTTAAAAAAATGTAATTTATTAGAAGAGTCAATAGGTTATGGATAAAAAATAATATATTGCAATATTGTATAAGTACTGGTAAATATGGTAGGTATTCATCACTTAACAAATATTATAAATATTATTTTACTCACTTAAATCAACAACCAAGGCGTATATTATAGTATTGAACTTGGCTCTCATTTTACATATATGTTTTTGGTGGGATTATATATTACAGTCAGTGGATGTTCAATTAAGCACCCAGCTTCCAATTTATTGATTGTGGATTGCAACAGAAATCGTATCCACAAACCACCTCTCTACTTGCCTAATGATAGTATTTTTCAAGTCACAACATGTCATCATTAATATAAAATGATAGTCTTGAGGAATAATTTGTACTATGTCTTAATTTTTCTATTTGCTTATTTTACATTATATTTAGTACGTTCAATATTATCTATCATAAATAAATTACTTTTAAATATATAAACATCAGTTAACACTCAGTAAATATATTATGTTTTTATATTTTATATAGTATGTATACAGTATGTCCTAGAAGTTCCGTATCACCCTTAGTATCTCCATGGAAAATCAATATATTTAATTGCAGTTTTTTTTACAGTAATAAATAATAAGTATGGAAATTCTGATTGAATAGCATAATATTCGATTTTTTTTTTCAAAAATTCAAAAAAAATTTTTAGGCAAATAAGTTTTTTAAATTTTCAAGATAGCCATTTTGTTATCGTATTTTTTAAAACAGTTCAAAAAAAAAAATTATTAAAATGCAATGAAAATTGTTCAAGTTAGAGCTAATTATTATTTTGAAGTTCTAAGAATAATATTTATGTTACCTATGAATACGACATTAGCAAAATAAGATTTGCGTGTTAATTATTACAATCACGCTGATTTTTCTGCTAAAATTAAAAATAATAATTAGCTCTTGGGCAATTTCATTAAATTAAAATTTTTTTTATTTTGATCTATTTTACAAAATGCCTATCTTGGAAATTTAAAAAACTTATTTGCCTAAAAAAATTTTTTGAATTTTTGAAAAAAAAATTGATTATTATGCTATTCAATCAGAATTTCCATACTTATGACTGTATTAAAATTTCATTTAAATATATTGATTTTTCATGGAGATCTAAGTCCCTTGGGACTTATGGGACATCCTCAATAGTAATAATGTTAATTGCAGAAAATTTTCATTGACATATTAATATATTATCATTTAATAAAATATAGAATAACAACTTAAGATGCACGGAATTTTAAATTTTTTGGTTTGTTTATACATATTAAATCATAATTTAAAGTTATTCGATAATATCACAACTGACAAAATCAGTAGGTATTGTTAGTATTATCTGCTGACATTAAAACATTTATTAAAGAAAATGCCACTTTTATTTAAATGTTTTTATGAAGAATAAACCTTTAACTCGCTTATTCGATAATTATCACTTTAAATTATAAAAGCTCGTTGAAAAATTGTGATTGTTATGGACAATGAGTTTAAAAAAATGAACTGTGGCTTCCTTCTATATTTTTAAACCTCAATTTAATAAAAACGCAAATGGAGTTCCTGACATTGATACCATTTCAAATGTTTACTTTGTATGAAAAGAAGGGTAAACAGACATTTTGTCCCAGTCAATTAATAAGATAGGAAATTTGGCCCCGGTGAGTCACAGACGTTATTTAGCCATAGGACTAAATTTGACTGATGAATATTATATTGTAGGCAATGAATTTAAATTTAATTAATATAAATTATACTGACATTTTATAATTTCGGAAAAAGAATAAGTGATTTTAATGTAAATAATTTTAATATGGTATTGACATTTTAAATTTAAAAAATAAAATGTGACTGAAATAATATCAAAACATAAATAATAATTTATTTATTTGTATATATAGTTGGGGCCCCACACAAACCTGTTCAGCCAATACCACTGTTTACAATTAACCTAGTGTACACAGCAAAATTGTTTTGTGGATAAGCTAAATATTATGTTTGTAATATGGTTGTATTGTCCTATGTCTTACCTCATGATAGCATGAGTTATAAACAATTCTAATGATTTAATTATTTTCAACTGCTATTTCATCAGTTGTTGTGATATGTGATGTAAGCCGAAACAACTCAATTTTAAAAATATTTACATAGTAGGTACTACCTACTTTCTTTAGATATGGCATAAAATTCAATATATTAGTTTATAAATTAAGAGAAAACAATTAAATATTAAATAGGTAAAACTACTGATTTTCCTGCATGCACCTCCCTTCTCCCCTCAACAACCACTCAAATCTTTTATTGTTATTATTCAAATTCTAGTATTTGGAATTTTTAAGTATAATATTAAAATAAAATATAATAATATAATATAATATTCAAATGGTCATTTTGATTTCTTATACATTTATAGAGAATATTTTAAATACAAAAATTATTTTTTTACCGTTCATTGTTAGTCAGATGATTTTTTTTATATATTTAATCTTTATAATATATCAAAAATAGCTAGTAGCATCTGAGTTATTTAATTATATTATACCCTAATAAATGTACCTATCCTATTAATCATAAGAGTCTCAGGTTTCAGGGGCCCATTTTCCAATAATATATTTTAAAAATAGGGCTTTGGTGTACATTTTCGAAATAGGTCATACAATTTCACACTAATTATTAACGAAGAAAAAAATTCAAAATTGTTTTTTTTTTCATTTGGTGGAAATGGTGCCTCTAAGCTAATTATTAGGAGGGGGAACCCCATAAATTCAAAATATTTATGAGGGTGACAGTAGAAACATTCTACATATTTTCTAAAAATAATATAAAATTGTTTTTAATTATAAATCATAATGTACATTGTATATAATTTGTGTAAATATAATTTTATGGAAGTTGACTGTGGCCTATCATTCAATATTATGCTGCATCATCTGCCCCCATGTGCACGCTTATGCTATTCATATACCTTTACAAAAAAATTAAATATATGTAATATTTAATCAGGGTACACAAACAGTTTTATAAATTATAAAATGTTAGAAGATAAATATTAATTACTACAAGTGTCAATTTATCATAGTCCTTACTCCTTACACCATATTAACTTCTAAACCTATTGTCATGGACTTATTATTTTATACCTAATCTTAATTTTCATACGCTTGACAATTTACATTAAAAAGTGGTCCTCATTTAAAATATGTTTGTGTTATCGCGGGATACTCTAAGAAATTGCATACAAAATTTAAGGATATGAAATTATTAACCTTAAATCCTTAAAAGTACATAAGTATACTTAAAAACTCCAAAAACCTACATTTTTAATAAATTCATTATTAAGCAGGAAAATTGAGTTATGTATGATTGAAATCACTTTGTAATTTGTATATTATTATCTTTATTATTTTTTTGAACTAACCTAACGATATATTTCAAGAATGAATATTCTTAACTTTATTGTACATAGTAGCATTTTCATAAATATATATATATATAAAAATGTATAGCTTGTACCAATTATTGTTTGCTTAGTAATCATGAACTATGTTTAAATATTAATATAATGTAGGTACATATTTTACTTAGAACTTTTACTAGTTTAAAAGTTAATTGTTATAAAATATTAGAACAATTATTGTTTTAATATATTTAATAATATTTACAGAACACAAACAATTCAACAATTTTGCTTAATGAAAGACTGTAAGTCGTATTCAGTAGCACCACCACTGGCAGATATTGCATTGAGAAACATTTGGAATTTGGACATGGCATTAGACGTAAATACTCGAACTGAAACAGTTGAATTATTGAGTCGTGAAGCTGACTGCCTAAAACACAAACTTGAAGAAGAAAGAAAAAAACTTAACGATGTGACATGTACTTAATTTGCTATTAAAATTATAATATTTGTTTGTTATGTTAAGTTGTTATTGATGACTTATGTAATAGTGGCAAATGTTGCGGAACGATTAGAAGAAGTTACATTTCTAAATATAAAACCTAGACGCTTGTTAAAAGGAAACCAAGCTAAAATGTTATGTTGTGATTGGTCTCCGGATAAACGGCATATTGTTTCATCTTCACAGGTACATAATATATATTTATAAATGTGCAAAAGTGTTTAATAAAATATGCTTGCTTGGTGTCGGTGCATACAAATGCTAGGATGGTAAATTACTAATTTGGGATGCATTTACATCTGCAAAAGAACAAACTGTTACAATGCCAACTACTTGGGTGATGGCATGTGCCTATTCACCATCAGGCAACTTGGTTGCATGCGGGTAAGATTGTATAGGGTAGATCATTGATTTTTGTAATATATTTTATTTTAAATAATAATGGAAAAACTCCACATAAATTACGGCTGGTTATTATCATTGTTAATAAATTATTACTTAATAATTTAATGTAGACATTTAGATTAAATATCAGAACACAAATTATTTTATAATTAATAAAAAAATGCATTTTTTGTATTTTAAGTGGATTGGATAACAAAGTAACAGTGTTCAATATATCCAATCCTGAGGAAGATCCGTCTGCCAAAAAGAAAACTGTTGGTACACATACAAATTTCATGTCATGTTGCTTATTTCCAAATTCAGATCAACAGGTAGTATATAGTTTTTTATGGGGAACGGAAAAAAAGTCTCGGGAGGAAAAAGAGTTCATAAGACTGATGAAATAAACAATTTGGAACATTTTAAATAAGACTTATATTATCACTCTGTATGAATAGTAATGGGGGGGGGGAACTGTTTTTATTATTATTAATCATTATGAATGTATGATATGTTAGTTTTGCATGAAAAATATGTTAATAAAAATGTATTATCTTCTTAGATTGGTAGACAAAAAAAAAAACAATAATTTTTGGTTTGTACCTACAGGCTACAGCTATACATATATTATATTTATATATATTATTATAGGTGTTCGAGCGTGATATAATAAAACAAAATATGATCTTATAGTATTATTATTTTTATTACATCAATCATGCCATACGGTGACCTCTGGTAAAGTATATAGCATAGTGCAGTAGGTGTGACAGATATAAAATATTAAATTTAAATTTTTCAGTTTTTTAGTCTTTTAGTTTTTACCCCCCTTTCCCTCGAGTCTTTTTTTCCTATCATCGTTTTTTATAGTGTTTAAAATACATTTAATATTATATTATAATACATTTTTGTGTTATATTCTATTTTGTTTTTAAGATTTTGACTGGTAGTGGAGATGCTACTGCTGCACTTTGGGATGTTGAGTCAGGTCAAATGTTACAATCTTTCCACGGCCATACAGGTGACATAATGTCCATTGATTTGTCTCCATCAGAAATTGGCAATACTTTTATATCAGGTGTAAGTTATTATCACAGATTATATAAAACTGTATATATGTTATATAATCTGTGTTATTATTCTAATTTTCCATTTAAAATAGTTTTTCTTTGATGCAATGATTAAAAAGTTAGCTAAGAAGCTGTATGGTACAAACAGCGTGTTTCGCCAACCTAAGTATCATGGGTATTGAGAAACAGGTTCGGCTAATGAAATTGACACTAAATAAATAATAGATGATATATTTTCTGATATAGACATCTTTGAGCTATATAAAATAATTGTTAGCACCCACAAAATGTGACTCTTTATGTGCCACTATATAATATGTAAAATACACATTGTCCTACACAAATATAATACCCATGGTGGATAATAATCTCAACAATAAAACACATAAATAGAGTAAAATATGCATACAAATGTCTTATGAACTATTAGCAGTGTTGAGTAAGTTACTTTACTCGTTACTAAGAGATAAATGTAATTAAGTTACTTTACTCGTTACTCAAATAAAATTATAATGAAATTACTTTACTTTTCAAATAGAAAAGTAACCCATTACTTTCTCCTTACAAAAATAAAAAAAAAATTTAATTTCTTGGCATTTATCTTCTACAGGCAAATTGAACAAGCAAATTCTATATAAAACCTTTATAGTTAATAGGATCATATAAAATTTAGTCTTCCACACAAGCTATATTCATATAGGAAGCCTATTTAGAGGAATCAAATTAAATAATAATTTTAATTAACTATTCTCGTGATTTACGGTGCAATTAGACATTTCAAATGTCAAAACCATGAATTGTGTCTAGTTTAACTTAAATTTATATAAATAATATTAGATTGGTAAACATAATGATACCCTCCTTATACATATATTTATTTCCAATTCACAATAGGTATACCTATAGATAGGTACTTAATAATTCGAAACTGTAACACTTTCGTTACTTGGAAATAATTCTAATGAAATTACGTAACACGTTACAAGCAAAGTAACGCATTATTATTGTTACGTTACTACCCAACGCTGACTATTAGTATAATGAAACAATATTATTTTTACCACAAAGCTGTTTTGAATAATTAATAGAAAGCATTCTAACTCAGATGATTAGTCTCTAGACCAAATCATAATATATGTTAAGTTATTTTTTTTTTTTAAATTAATCATTTCTTTTTCTTAGAGTTGTGACAAAATGTTACTATTGTGGGATATGAGAACTGGTCAAAGTGTTCAATCATTTGAAGGTCATCTTTCTGACATAAATAGTGTTAAATATCATCCAAGTGGAGACGCTGTAGCATCTGGATCAGATGATTCTACAGTAATAAGAAACATTACTTTTTTTTTTATTTATTGTCTAATGTATTCTTAATTTATTAGTGTCGAATGTATGACTTAAGAGCAGACAAAGAAGTTGCTGTATATTCAAAAGAAAGTATTTTGTTTGGAGTTAATTCTATAGACTTTTCAGTCAGCGGTAAGTTTTATTTTAACTAAGTGGCAATTACACAATATAAGGTACATATTATAAAATAATATTTGCCAACAAATTAGTTAGGATTGAATATAATTTTAGACCTGTAGGTATATTATATTTGGTCAAAACCACATTACTTAGTAAAAATGGAATTCCTAACACCGACTTTTTGACCTTTGTCCCGGGAAGGCGGGAACTAACACATGTAGATCATAAACAATGAGTCAATAAGACATTTTTGATTAAGTTTGTACTACGTACCTTGCCGGGTCTGAAAATATACTGATCGAATAATCGAGATGGCTATAATATAATCGAACGTGTCCCTGACTGACTCACAAACTGATCTACGTAAAGCCTAACCAATGATAGCTTGATGCTTGCAATTTTCACGATACCTATTATATTATATGGATCTCATAAGTCTAAGATATTTTTCAGCAAGATATTATAGATGGGAATCTGGAGGTGTGTATAGGATACACAAATATTTTACACTCGGGCGGTGCCAGATAATTCAGCTAGTATTAATATAATATGTATATTATGTTGTTTAGGTAGAATATTATTTGGTGGCTATACAGATTATACAATAAATGCTTGGGATAGCTTAAAATGTGAAAGAGTGAGTTTGTTATATGGACATGAAAATCGAGTTACAAGTATAAAACTTTCACCTGATGGAACAGCATTAGCTTCTGCCAGTTGGGATGCTTCTTTACGTGTATGTATATTGACTGATTCAATAATTCAGGAGTTTATAACTTTATTTTTTATAAAAACATTTTGATACATACTGAATGGCTAAATATTATTTTTTATTATTCAAATTGGGAAACTTTTTCCAATACAAACTTTATCAAATTGCAATGAACATTATCAAACAGATTTTAAAATCTTCAGTTCAGTTATGTATCTAGAATTTTTTTTAAAAATGTGACATAAATTAATACTCTAAATTAACCATGCTTGATGTTAATATAAACATGTGATTAATATAAAATGTATTAAATATATTAACAACTTTTTTGTTATAGGTATGGGCATAAGTTATGAAAATTCAAAATTTTTGAAGTAGATCTAGTCAGTAATATGTTCCGTACAATAATATGAGTTAATGTTCACAAATAAAAATTATATAATCATAGAATAGTTAAATAAATAAAAATTAATTTTTATTAAATGTTGTATATTATATTATTTTAAATATTAAAAAAATATTATTCTATTTGGAATTTTAAAACAAAATATACCAAACATAGAATTTATTCATCGTCTTCTTCATTTTGCTTATAAAACTGAGCGAGTATATCGACATCTACAGGAACATAGAGCACATCAGCATCACGTTTCCATTTTACCAATTCATGATCAACAAATTCAGTTAACTGACTTCTCAAAGCTAGATCTGTACTAGCTAGAAACCGTTGACGGCACCAATGATACAAGGTTGAGAATGGAACTCCTACATTAAAATATATTATACATATATAAATTATTTTATAATTAATATAAAAAAAAATAAAATTTACCTCCGTATTTTTTATCATTTTTATTTTCTATTCGATTTTTAATCAGTAATAATAAGATACTTTTAGCATTGGATGGGAGTGATTTGAAAACATTATTCAATCCTGATAATGAATGTTGTGTTCCAATGTTTTTTACCATTAAGGATTGTATGAAATTAGTTTCAACTGTATATGGTAAAAAAATGGTACAGTCCATCCAAATAAAATTGTAGTCCCCAAGTTTTGTATTATCAAACACTAAAAAATGTTTGAAAGTTTAATATACCATAAAGATTTAGGTATTAGCCAAACTTCTAACAGATCAACACTAACTTAAAGCAGAATTTACTCTATCCATAGATGCTATTAAGTGTACTTTTTTTAATGAACAAATCCTCGAAATTACATGCTGTGCTTTAGAGTTTTGCAATTCAACACCATCCAAATTGTTAATGAGAATATAAATATGTTCAGAAGTCTTTAACTTTAGTTTTTCTTCAATTTGCTGAATCGCGAGTTCAGAACTTCCTGGACAACTCTCAAGATCTAATAAATCTATTGTTATAGATTCAAGTATCTATAAAATATTATCAAACAAGATATTTTAAAATAGAAGGTGTTGATAATGAAAAAATGTATTGTAAATGAATAAATTAGTACTTCTTTCATTGTCAGTCCTGGAAAAAATCCATTAATCACTAATACAGATTCTTCCGCTAATACAGACATTCGAAAATCATTAATAATTTGTCTTTTTGAACCCAATCCGTAAAGAAGTAGATTAAATCCTTCCCTAAAAAGTCAAAATACTGTAATGAAAACAATAAACAAACAATAATAGTAATTAATTACCTTAGCAAAGACATCCAATACGGAAAATTTGACACAATATCTACGTACATTGACTTTAACTTTTTATCATGTTTAGTATAAGAATTTCCTGATAGTTCATCGACCTGTTCTTTGTCTAAAACGGGGTTTTTCAATAGTTTCAATGTATTGTCTGATGTCTTAGACTTTTTCACAGATTTAGCAGATTTGGATAAAAAATATTCATCTGATTTATATATCTAGAAAATATATTGTAACATAAATATGTAATTTTACAATTTACAAAAAATACTTACAAAAGGAACTTCTTTCTTTCTAGTAGATCTTCTTAAAGAAATCTCTGGCTGAACAGTTTTAAGATTAGCATGAATACTAGAATCACTGTCACTTTCATCACTGTCACTGTAATCTGAATCGTTAAATTCATTAAGTTGTTCATACTTTTGATGTGCTATTCCTGAAAAGGATAATTTATATTTTGTTGACCATTTTTTTAGTTAATGTATAATTCAATTAAGTATTAACCTTTTGCAATCTGTTTCCGAACAGTTCTTGGTGTTTTTGTTGATATGTGTTCAAAACTATTCATAGAATGTAATTTTTTTAATTTTTTAGGTGTTTCATAACCAAATTTGCTATCAGTTACTTTTGGAGAGTCTGTAACATTTTAATGATTGATTATAAATAATGTATGTATTATATATACCTGTTGACTGTCAAACATAATTTTATATTCTATTTATCACCATTGTCTGATACTTCATTTTTGACTTCAGATATAACTGATGTTCTAGTTGTTTTTTTATAAGGATTTTTTGATTTAACTTCACTTTCATCATCAGAAAAACCTAAAACCAAAATGGTAAAGAGTGTATTGCTCTGTTTAACAGTCAGTGTGGAGTGGGTCAATGTAATGGATGGGTTGTTAAATTTGAAATTTAATGTTACAGTAATCCTTTGTTATCCTCTGAGGTTAGGTTCCAGGAAAATTGCATGGATAACGAGACCATAAAACAATGTTTTGAAGGTTAAGTTTTATATTTTTAGTATTAAAATTATATTACATGCATATTGTTTGTGGCATAATAGGGGGAGTTTCTATAACAATGCGTTTTATTGTATTCTCATTTTTTTCACTAGTGTCAATACTATATTTATACCTTTTTTGGCTTTTTTTTCTGTTTCTCTGGACTCCTGAAAATTACTAAGAATTTTGTACTTTTTATCCCCTAAAGTACCAACTAGATTCACTTTATTTCCAGAAAATATATTTAAGTTTAAAATCGAACTATCGAAGTTTTTTTCTACTGCAAAAAGTGTAAGGCACAAAACAAGACATATATTATTGTATAATCAACAATACATTTATGACTCCGCTCAGAATCTAAAATTAGAACTTTATATTTTGGCACTATATGTGATATTTATAAAATGTTGAAATTTAATGGAAATAAAAATTCATGAAAGTATAACCAGTAACCACTGGTATAACTAGATACAACTTGATGTTTTAAACCTAACCTAACCTATTATCAAACTTTAAGGTAAGAACAATATCCGTGTTTGCTTGGTGATTTTTGTACGATATTTTTAATTTTAAGTGAATTATGAGTATTTTTACTTAAAAATTAAAATATCGTCAAAAACCAACGAGAGAACACAATTAATGTTCTGACCTAAAAGCTTGATAATAGATCAATTCATGCTAATACCAAAACTGACAGCACACTAAAATTGAAACTGCTGAACATAAATTTGCGCTATCCTCCTAACATTATAATTATTATTAAATTTTTAATTTATCAAAAACATAATTCATGGGAACTTGAAACTTTTTACTACTATTTATGTTATTATTAACTATACAAATTAAGTTTTCAAAATATGTAGATTAATTTTAAGCTATTTATATATGAGCCTATTCAGACGTCATGAAACGTTGGTATTGACTTATAAATTAATAACACAATTATTATTGTACAATGTATTATGCAAGTTGTTTCTGGCTAACATTAATTATATCTACCGTATTATTAATAGGAAAAAATTTCTAATTGCAGCAACGAAGTGTAGGTACTTATAAAGTTAAAAATATAGATTGAAAGAGAAAGGCTGACATTGCTGAAAATCGTTTTTCATCGTATACAATGATTTATCATTGAATTAAAATTTAACACATCTGTGACCTATTCAAAGCCGTGGTATACTATAACCAAACACCTACTATACAGCAGAACAAGTTCCTTGAATTATATTTTATTTGTTTTTAATGTATGATAAATTGATAAATAGGATAAATTTAATTTAAATTTGTAGGGTTAAAAAATAAAATTTAGTAAAGATACCATATTAATTTTTTTAATATTTTATTCGATATTTTTTTTTTTAGAATTTACTACCAGGTACACAGTGAATTCAAATTGTTTAATCAATGAAAATGCTTCTTATATAGCACACTTTCATGCAAAATTTCAATCCAATTCCATCTATAGCTTGATAAGCTTAGCTTCAAATACACTTCCCCGGAACCCGTCAGAAGTTTCAAACAGAACTGGTTCTGTCTTCTGTGACCTGAACATTTAAAATTTAAAATCATTAGGTTGTATTTTCTAATTACCTATGTGCTTTTTCACATCTATTACTAACAGTTTATAGTAAATAAATTACTTATTGATAATATGCGATTTATAAATTATGCATACATTTTAAATGAAAAAAAAAATTTATAATTTTTTTGCTTAAAATATGAAGTTATCATTGAACTGATAATATGTTTTAATCACTAACCTAAAGGTGGTTTTAATCGTTTTATTATGCTTACATTATTATTAATTTAATTACATAAATAAAGAAGGATTGCCTTTTTCTATATACTGACCATTTTAAATTATTGTTAGTATTTTTGAATTGTATGTGTAAAAAAAGACTGATTTTTTTATTGTATACATATTATATATGGGTACATTTTTAAATTCAAAATTTACCCTCTCCCCCTACAATAAAGATTCTGGGACTGTGCCTGATCACTACTATTATATATATTATGCACTTTTAATATAATCATGATTATTGATTACATTATTTTTATTTGGACATATTATTTACACCAAATTACAAGTAATTTATGTTTTATGGTTTCAGTAGCATAATAAATCTTAATATATATAAATCTCGTGTCACAATGTTTGTCCTCAATGGACTCCTAAACCACTTAACCGATTTTGATGAAATTTTTTACACCGCGTGTAATTTGGTCCAACTTAAAAGATAGGCTAATTTAAAAAGGTAGAGGACCAACCCCGGGAGGTGCTCAAACGGGAATTTTGAGATTTCCGATGGAAATTTTTGTTTATAAATGGTTGCCATGGGTTTTTAAGCTATTGCAATAATAAAAATAATAAAAAAAAAAAACTATTTGCTTTACTTTTTAAATATAAATTGTAATATAATATCTAACTATAAAAATGTGAAATGAAAATCTCTGTACTACTTATCTCTGGAGCTTCTTATCAGATCTTCTTTATTTTTTTTTAAATGAAAGAGTATTTCATGGATAAGGTTTATATGAAAAAAAAATGTTAGGAAAATCCACCAGTGTATTATATTATATCGGTTGCTATTGGTTAATCGGGCATGTTTTTGATTTGTATCATTATTTTTTGTCAATAGGTATACGATATATATATAATAAATACAAAAAGATCCAATAAGTAGTTCCAGAGTCTGTATAGTTATAGTCCGTGTATTTATATAGTTATATATATAAATTAATGTTTGTGGGTAGATTAGACGTCTGGGAAGAAGATAGGTTAATTTACTAAGGGTTAAATTTGTTTTTTTTTCATCGGGTTTTAGTACGGTTAGGTTAGGATAGGATTTTGTATAAAATGATTATAATAATCCACCTTAGGCGAAATGAAGTAAAAACGATAAACTTGGTATAACTTTGATACTTTAGAGTTAAATCATACACTTACGTACAAACAGCACAGGGTACGCGATCTATCGCAGGTAGATTACTGTTGCAAATCAGAATTTTTATTCGGGGCAACGGAAAAGTTAAGATTAATTTTGAACACCGCACACACCGAATATTAAATAACGAATTGAACAAACTTTGAGACATATAGAATTGATACATTTAACGGGGCAACGAAGTGCACAGGATCAGCTAGTAATAATATATAATAACTAATAAGCCTTAATATTATTATAATAATTTACCTTCAGTAGGAATATTACACATTTTTCGATCATGTTTGTTATGATATTGGAGATTTTTGCTATCTTGTGAAGTTTTGTTTTTTTTTATACATGATGGTGTTTTATTTTGTTTGGACTGAAAACTAAACATACGTTCACCTGGCACATCTCCGTCTTCAAATAAAGCTATAAACAATAATATTTTGTTACACTTGATCGCTATTGGTTAGTAGGTATTACACTATTACCTTTTAAGCAGGGCGAATTTAGGTATATTGAGGCCATTGGGTGAAATGGGGGTTTCACATAAATAAACAGGATAATACATCTTTTGTTTATTAAATAATTCTTCCATTTTTAAATTTGTAAAAAATTATAACAATTATAACCATTCACTAAATAATAATAAGCAACATTTAAAGTCTCTACTAAAACCATGTGTACATTTTTTTCCGTTATTTTTATTGTCCAAACAATATAATTATGGTTAGTTATTACTAGGGCTCTGAATTATATTCACTAAAAAGTAAAAACGTACAAAATATGCAAAAATTTAAAATACACAAAACAAAAATGCATTTAAATGAATAATTAAATTAAGAAAATTGAAAACAAGTGTACCCAGTTGGCCACAATGGTCGCATTATATTAGACAATTTATATCCATATTTTTTGATTTGAAATGAAATCACGGATTTTGACAATGATATGGTCTGTTCATATACATTGAATAAATACTTTTTCCTTAAAATTAACTCGTCCGCCAGAATAGTTCGGAAAACCAACTAACAATAGTAAGTCAAAATAGTATGAAACACTTTGGTATTCGTAAAATACTGAAATATGCAAAAAAATTCATTATAAAACCATCTATACGCAACAAGAAACCGTAAAACACAGAAATAGGCAGTACACCTCAAAAAATGAAATATATGCAAAGTAAAACTTTGTATTCCGATCTATTGACTATAGTTCAAACTTGTAGCTTATCCAGCTACTTTTTGGACTGTTAGAAAAAAAACATGCAAATTCATATAAATCCGGGTACTAATTATTACCGATCCTATTTAGGCAAAGAATTTGTATTTGACTGTGTCTGTCATATTACTTATTAGTATGACTTTTATTATATAATTCCCAACTCACATGTGTATATTTAGAAACGCATTTGGTAATATTGCTATGAACAATCCATGTATGCCGCCGATTGCAGATAGCAGAAAAACATTTAATATCTAGATTCTAAAATATAGAACACCGTTCAATTATTTGAGCACGTACAATAGGTACAAGAATATCCATTATTCTTTTGATAAAAATGTTATATTAAATAGAAAAATATGTTAGCATATTGTATACATTTTTAAGAGGACGCTACACAGCCATTTGTTGTCTTTGTCTTACAAGTGTGTAACATGGCAAATTTATGCTCAAGAAAATGCGTTTAGCTCCATTAGTTTCAAAATTAGAGTGAATCAACCTATTATGAAACTTGATGGTAAGTACATTATTTGTGTTTGTATGAGGGTTTTTTTTGCGATAGTTCAATTTTTTAAAAGTTTATGCGTATAATATAGCGTAAATTAAAAATGCTTATAAGTTATAACTCACTTGAAAATTGAATTATCATAAAAAAGCTACATACAAACATAAATAATGTTCTTACCATCAAGTTTTATAATAGGTTGATTCCCTCTAATTTTTAAACTGAGTTAAATGTGATCTGCTGTTATGCACTTGTAAGAAGGATACAACAAATATTTGTGTAATGTCCTCTTAATGTGGGTATATTTAAATTTAATTAATTTGTCTGTATTTGCCATTAAATAATTACAACATTGTGGAGGCCCCTAGGCCCACTCAGCTTCCCACTAAATCCAGCCCTGCATTTAAATATTACCTTTTGGTTTCAATGTTACATCTGATTCATTTTCATTTAACTCTTCATCATAACTATTCTCATCTAATAACTGATTTCTGGTTTTACCTAAAATATTACATAAATAAAATTAAATATTTTAAAACGCAAGTGTTCAAATTATATAAATATTATATATATTCAACTATATAAAACTAAATAAAACCATATTTTTAACTAACATACATAATATGTGAATTGTGCTAAAAAATGTATTTTGTACACAAATTAAAATTACCAAATTTAAAACTATATAATAAACAGAAAATGTTTTTCAAAATCTAACGACTCTAATAAACTATCAATAGTATATTTTCAATGTTTTCAAGTTTACTAGGAACATTCCAAAACGGCAATGTATATGAATATTATTTCTAATTATATTTCAGATTATTCAATAAATCTTTTATTTGCATTCTTTTGAAGGTGAAATTGATATTCAATTGATATCTGTAGACTGTAGTTCCACTAATATAGGTTTAAAAATTAGGTATGCTAAATTAAAACAACAACTATTTTATTTGGTACCCATACATTTTAGGTATACCATTAACTTGATATTTCCTTATATTTAACCTTTTATTTTTGATTCTGAGGAAAGTCAATACCCATAAGTACACTACTAATATATAATATACAAATAATAAGCATCATTCTAATTTACTTGCTTTTAATTGAAACTCCAGAGTTATGTACAGTGACTTCAACAGATTTTTTTTTTCTGGTTGAATGATTTTCTGCAAATAGGTAAACTTTTGTTTTTATCTTTATTTTATGAAAACAGTATATATTTTTTTAAATAAATGTGTTATTTTTTGATTTGTTCTTTGCAGATTCATACTTACTTAGTAGTGTCTCGTCTATTATTAAATGAGTAACTACTTGATCATTAATGAACTCCACTTCTATATCACTTTTAGCTGCAATACTTGGTAATTCCATTGTAATGCTCCGGAATTTATGATTTCATATTGCAAAAATAACAATGAAAATTGAAAAGAACATTTGAAGTTTATATTTTCAATTTAGTCTTACAAAAATCCTTGAAGACTATAATAGACAATATATTACTTTTTTTATACGCCAACTACAGACTACTACAGCGTACGTATACGGTATACGGTATCAGCTGGTAGTTTGGTACTTGGTTCGTTAATCGTTTAGAGTTTAGAAGTTTACCTATTAGTAATTTAATAATATATTGTTCTATTTCCCTCGCTTTTTGACTCCATATTATCATTCTAACCACAAAAATCAGCAAAAAGCATTATTTTGTAATATTATGTTTATCCGATATTCCAATATGATATATTATAATGTGATTGTTTAATGTACTATATTATAAATTATAATTGTCTTTATAATAATGGTCCTTAGCATATTAAATAATCCTTAGTACAAACATTTCTAATAAATTATTTCTGTCAAAAGTCCAAATTTCAATTATTTAACTATAACCTCTTTGACAAGCATTTATTTTGATTTTGATGATAAGAACATTACCACATTATAATCAGAATAATATAATTTGTGTGAGTTTAGTCTATACGAGAGACGAGAGACCAATACAATAGTTGAATGTTTAACTCTCTAAACTCAAGTATGCATTATGCATAAGCAATTAATATTAAATAATGTAAAAACTTTCGATGTTTTTTATATGTTGTGAAATATATTATAATATTAAATAACAATTAATAAAATGATTTGAAATGTATTTATTATTAAATATACAATGGTAAGTATAAAGACTGAGGTAACCATGGCTGACAACGGCGATGATGACCAGTGGTTGTATGGGGACTCAAATTCAAATCTTGACACTGTCGGTGCCTTAGTCGAAGATATTAAGCCAGCTGAACCAATTGGTATTTTAGAAGATGAGGTACTATTATAGAATGATTATTAAAAAAACATCATATTTTTAATTTTTTTTTACTTGTAGGAAGCACGTCTTATGGAGTTCTTGGCAAATCCTGGACCAGGTAACATTGAAAACTTTAAACTTTGGTTTAGCAATTTTATATTTGGATTGTATAATTAATTTATTTGAGTTTTGTGTAATAAAAGAGCATTAAAGAAATATTTTTAAAATGTTTTGATTAATATAGTTAATTTGCATTAGTATATGAAATAACTAAAATGTACTTTTTAAAAATTATAATACTATCTTGTATAACAACTTCTTACCTTTTAAAGCTAGAATTTTTAGTAAAAGAAACAATTCATGATGTTTTATCTTACTTTTAGGTACCTACTTAATTTTAACGTTGATTCTACTATAATAGTTTTTGTTAAAATTTATAAATTAGTCATTTTTGATTAGCATCTATAATTTACAATCAAATATTCATATTGATTAATATTTTTTAATGTAAAATATGAATCTGTTGAATTAATTCTTTGTTATTTTATTATAGGAAGTATAGATATCCCACCCACTGTAAAAGAATTAGATGATGAGGATCCTAATCGACCTCGAAGTCCAGAAACATTTTTAGGGGGGCCAGCAATCCAAGCTGAGGTACTGGTTAAACGTTCAGAACATTCACTTGAAACTAACCTGGTAGAGACTGCAACTGAAGTGGACATTAATGTTCCTGAAAAAGTAGCTGAAGAGAATAATGAAGATACACAAATGTTATCCGAAGATAGTGAAGAAGATAGTGATGACGACATTGTTGTGGCAGCTGGGAATTTTACATTGTCTTCAATGGAAAATAATATGGTGTCCCTTTCACAGCAAAATAATGCAAGCCCATCAACTGCTGGAATTAATTTAAAACGAAATAACTTATTAACATTAACAAATATTCCTGGAATGTCATCTGGAAATAAAGTAAGCAAGAAAAATGTACTATCAGTTTAGTAATTAATTCAATTATTATTAAGTATTCTAACCGTTTGTTTTATTTATGTATGATAATATACATATTAGCATCAAGGAAAATTTAATGTAGAAGATTTTGAAAGTATGGGCACCATAAATGGTGTTCCTGCTCATGAATATTCTATTGAAACTACTGAAGAAAAACCATGGTTGAAGCCAGGTGCAGATATCACAGGTAAAATACTATTATTTTGTAAAACTTTGGAAATGTTACTTTATTATAGTAATATTGTTTTATGAGTTTAGGTCAGGTTAAAACTAAGTATTTCTTTTTATATATTTTAAGATTATTTTAATTATGGATTTAATGAAAATACATGGTTGGCATATTGTGAACGCCAAAGAAAAATGCGTTGTAATGAATCATTAGTTGGAATGTCAACATTGGCTATGCATAATCAACAAGTTTCCATAAGTGCTACAAATAATAATATGATTCCTACTTTGGATGTTAAATCTAGTACAAAATTTCAAACACCAAATGTTCCACCTAAGGAAAACACTATTGAGGTATGTATTATACAGTGTGATACCAATGATTCACATACTTCTTTACTTTAACAGTATATCTTTGTTAGACACTTGTTTATTGATAAATTTAATAATAGTATAAAACTTATGCTTATCTAATATTACTAAATTATATATTATTTAGGTTATGACAGCCGAGAGAAGAGAATACAGTCGTAAACATTTTTCAACTCCTGATTTATCAGTACCTCCTCCAATAATTCCAACAAATTTTGATGTACCTCCACCAATGATTCAAAATTCTATAAATTCTATACCACCCCCTGGGTAAATATGAACTTACAAAATAATCAAATGTACATTAGTTAATATGATATTTAAAAATATACAATTCAGATTTGGTCCTCCACAAATAAATGTACCTTATGAACCAGAATACTATCCTCATGAACCAGATCCATACTATAATACATTTGAACCTACTCAAGATATGCAATGGAATCAAGTAACTAATTACTTTTAATTCATTTTCTTTTAACTATTTTTTACTGTACGTTCAACACATAGGACAGCTAAGTAGGTAAAATATTAAATTATGTATAATCTGTTAAGTTTTAAAGAGTTATCAGTTGCTGCCATTATTGAATTTAGTAATAAAATCTGTTTCATATCTTCTGTGCACTATACCATAAAAATATCTACTATATAAAACCTGATTTGCGTTTTTTTAAATAATAAAAACTTAATTTAACTTTAATACTAATTTGTTCCCCAATTAGAGCTGGAACTCGAACGTTAAAAGTATAGAGAACATTCCAACCCTGTCAAATGGAGATTCATACAACAAAGCAAGACCAGTAATATAATTTATAGCTTAGTAAATTTATAGCAAGTTTAAAAAAGTGTTTTTGTAGGATTTGGTAAGAGATAAAGAATATTATGCAGCAAGAGTTAAAAAAGAACCAGAAGAAAGGGTATATGAACGAGATCGTGAGAGTCGCAATCGATATCGTGAAAGGGATCGAGAGAGAGATCGTGAACGTGATAGAGACAGGGACAGGGAACGTAGCAGACATAGAGAAAGGTTAGTTTTTATTTATTTTTGATACTATTTCCAATAATAATATAGATATTAAACTCAATGTTGTTTAAAGTACCTTTATTTTATTTAAAATAAAATTATCTTTATTTATTTTAACACATTATCAGTGATGGTGTTGAAAGTCCAGAAACAAGTTATAAAGAAGAGAGAGAATATAAACACAAGTAATTCCAACTGTATTATTTAATTAGTTTTGATAAGCTTTTTCTCAAATTTGGGACAGTTAAAAAAACATCATTTTTTTTTAATCAGGTCTCATCGTCATCGCTCTCGAAGTCGTAGTCACGAAAAGCGTTCTAGGAAACACAAGTCTCGTAGTAGAAGTGGGTCTAGACATCGTCACAAAAAGAAGAAAAAGAAGTCTGAGAAGAACAAGGAAGATGATAACAGTGAATAAATTTCTGTTGTCATGGTGTACATTTAAACAATTTTAATTTTTTTATTAATATTAGTTTTTCTTCATTTCATTGAATTGTTAATGGTAAATGGTAATTTAATGGTTATTGCAACTAATTTTATATTGAACTAATGTTACATGAAGTACACATTTTATCAACAAATAGAATTGAAAATTTCACCTCTGATTATTACTACAATTACTATTATTATTATTATTATAAGTAAACGTAAATTACTAAACATTATAACTTTTGTTGTTATGTCAAAAATTAAAATTGTACAAGTCATTTTTTTTTTAAATGTTAAACTATATAACATAAAAATTAATTAAAATATACATATTAGTATATTATATATTCATTACCAAATATTGACATTTAGTTTTTCATGACTGATAAATAATGACAATATGATATGACTTCAGGACACTAATGTTCATTTAATATAAATTTGCCACTTATTTTGCTCAACTGTGTCAAATAAAAGACTAAAATCCATAAAATGTTTACTTTTATTTTACTATTTATACTTTGACAAAAGGTTAACCTAACCTTCACTACTCAACAAGACTAAGTATGGTTGTAAAAATACGTAGAGTTAAAAGTAAACTTTTTGTGAATTTGTTTTTTTTTAATATTTAGTATACTATAATATAAATTTATCTTTAAAAAAAAGTCCACAACAATAATTGCAATATAAATTTATTTTATATTAAATCAAAAATTGTAAATATAGGTATTTAATAAGTAAATATGTTCTAATGACCACCAATTTTTAGTTTGGGTAGAAATGACACTGCTATAAATGCAACTGAAAAGAAAAAGATACAAACTATATAAATATAATAACACGATTATAAAATAAGGATGATACTTGTATGAACAAATAAAGAAGAATTAAGATTCCGTTTTCACTAAGTAATGTTAGTTTACTATAACTATCAGGTTACTTGCCTTGCACTGTGAATTTAATCCACTGTTAAACCTTTAAAACTCAAAAACTGCACTTACATTTTTTTAATTTCTAAAGTAACGAAATCTTAAAAATAAAAAGTTTCATGTATATAAAAAAATATTAACTGACGGAATGCTTTTCTCAACATAAGCTCAAATTAATTTTCAACTAATTCACAACACATACTAAGTAGTATCAACTAACATTAAAATACTGTGCATCAAGTACAAATAGCAAGTTAATAAATATTTACAATTGTGTTACTGTATCTACATTTTTACTTAATTTTTATTATTATCATATTAGACTCATTAAAATATATTTTTAAATAGAATAAAAGTGCTAAAAAAGCCACGAAATAAAACTAAAATGTTATAATTACATATTTAGATTGTTGTACTCACTTAATACTAATAAAGCTAAGCCATAAAAAGTCATATAACAACTTTTATCTATCAATATACCAAAAACAACTATTCCAAATATAGCACCTAGTCGACCAATCATCACAATCATTGAAAATGCCACTCCTCTGAATACAAAAATACACCCAATAATATAATATGATAAATCTAAAACTATTATCCAAATATTTTAACTATTACCTCACATTACTGGGAAATAGTTCAACAATAGTACAAAATATAATGGGTTCTGTTAATGAAGTTAATCCTTCGAATAGGCAACATAATAATTCTGCTTGTAGATCATCATGGGTTATTGTGACCAGTGATGCGAATATAGCTGGGATTCCACAAGTCATAACTATAAACAAATTATAATTTTTAATTTCATAAAATTTAACAAAGAAATAAACCTTATTATATAATAATGTAAATATGTAATTAAAATGTTTGTGTAGAACCTATCCATTCCATACACAATATAACTATTACAAATTATAGTTATCAATCTTAACCCAATAGAACCCACACTAATTTTCTTAATAATAACATCAAATCTTAAGTCAATAAACCAACCACTAGTCTATATTTCTACCCACCTAGTTAAGTATTCAAAATTATGTTTCTATTAATATGAAACCAAATACATACATAGCAATTTCTTTTTATCAACATATTTAATTATGATCCCAGTAATTAGTACTAAAGGTATTGTAGAAGATGCCACAACTGAAGCAGCGAAATAAGCATTGCCTGAAACTGCGTGTGCAGCATACAACTTATCGTATTTTAAATGCCATTCTGAAGCCGTACATAAGTTTACACCATCTGAATTTTGTAGTTTGTAATTAGAGTATCTAGAAAACAATTCAGGTACCCATACTAGAATAGTAATATATCTGTAACATGTAAAATAACCAACAAATTATTTATAAATTGATGCTAAAGGTGTGTAAAATTTTAGAAATGTTCTAGATGTACCTATTCTAAAATCAGTTATAAGTACCTAATTTTTTTTATTTGAAAATTTGTAGATCTTAGCTTTGAAAGAAAAATGTGTATAATACAATTTTTACTATGAAAAATATAACAGGGAAATATTCAATTTAAGCTTAGGCTCTGTCAAACAGAAAGCGTTATTTTCAAGTCGCGTGATTTTGTAATTAGTTACTACGCGGCGTTATTCACGAGCGTGAAAGCGCCCCGCCGACGAGTCATTTACCACTTTAACGCTCGTTGTAACACGTTTTGTTTGACATAGCCTTAAAAGTTAAAACTGTAATCTATATAGGTACATATTTTTATTTAAGTTAGAATAATATATATATATATATATATTAAATTAAATCAATTTGAATAAGTATTAAATATAGGTACTCACGATGCCATTATACAAAATTCTATAATACAAGCCACGATGATATTTCTGAAATATTTAGATAATAATGTTAAGTGACCATTTTTTAGAACAGTTATTCTTTTTTTAACATTTATCATGAACGGTATGCCTCCAATAAATCCTGTATCAAACCAAACGGCTGAATGGGTTTGAGTGAAAACTTGCACCTTTAGTTCAACGATTTTAATATATTAACAGTGATATTTACCTTTTTACAATAAGCACCTATTTTAAGTTACAACTATGAACTAATATTAGTTAGTAAAAGAGGGTGAGTGGCTGTCGCTCTAGTGTACAGTAAGTTACAAGATATAATATCATTGTATACGAAAAAAGATTCTGAACGGAAGATGAAACGGTTTGTCAGCCTCGAATTTTTTATATTATATTTATATTGTTGTTATTAATACGGTAGCAGGTAAGTTCTATTAATATTATTTGTGTATTTTAATATATTATATATTTTAGAAATTTCAAGTACCCACGAATAATATTTTTAAATATCAAACTAAAATCGTTATTCTTAGTTAAAATATCTATTTTTTTTTCCCAAATTTGAACTTTAAATACCAACTAGTTACTTATAAAAAAAAAACTGTGTTTATATACTTTTTAGATTGTTACAGTAATTATGAACTACCTACTTTCGCGGAACCTTGTTTTAAATTTTCAATCCTTAGCTTTAAAAAATGGACCTATACATTTTTATCTGCAAAATAATTTTTAAATTTTGTAAACATTTGAACTTTAAATAATTATAAAAAAATCTAGCTTATGTATCTACCTATTTTTAATATTTTTAAACTGATATATTGTAATAATGTGTGAGGAGCCTTGTACTAAGTTTTAAAACTTTTTTACCCAACCAATATCCTACTAATTGTATTGACATTAAAAAAAAAAAAAAATTAAAAAATTGAAAAAGTTGAAAATGTCTGTAAACAGCTCAAAATAAGTCAAAATATTTTGAACATTTTATCAAGTACCATACAAAATGATACAATAACATTATATGGTGTAAATTTAAAGTACCTATATCTACGGTTATTCGTTTTGTGAATTAAAATAAGAAAACCACTCAGTGAGAAATCAATTGGTATTCGTTTAGTATGTGACCTACAGAGTTAAAATCGAGTTTAGTATGTGACCTACCAAGACGATTATCTATATTATGTACGGGTACTGATCTATTAACAGGTAAGATGAATTTTTGAAATTTAAGTAAAATACAAAAAGTGTATTTCTAAAAATATAATTTAAATAAAATAAAACTCTTTTATAACAACATAATTTTATGAAATCTATTGAATAGTTTTGTGCGCCGTGCCGCTCCTACTTTGAAAATCGCGGTTAGCGACAACGACTCGCGGAATGCTGTGGACGTGAAGGGGCGAACTCACAATATATTACCTCGTACAAGTCTTAATGCGTAATGACGCGATATATATATTTTTTACACACTAGTAATCAATGTAGACGCCGTGTACAATTTAACACGCGCTACACCAATAATAATAATAATAATTTGAACAATAAACAATAATAATAATTTAAACAATAGGTAATAATAATTTTACAATATGACCTGATCGACACCTCGGGGACAGGTCACTGGTCAGCACGGTCCTCGCTGGAAATGCGACAGCGTCTTCCTCGTCAACAGCCTAAATCGGCACTGCGGCGCAGTTGAACGACGGCCCAGCGGTGACACGTATAATAATTAATAAATTCGGTGGTGCGCGGTGACACAATCCGTCAAACTTAGACTGTCTCCAAGTTTACGACGGTATAGACGTGCACCAATTATAATCATAAATAATAAATAATTGCTAATAATGACCACGAGGTCTAAACACAGCCACACGAAGCAACGCGAACCGGCGGTGCGTGATCCGCCAAGTTCGAGCGTAGGTAAGAGACAAACAGGCCGAGTCCCCGGCACGGGGGCCGTGGACGGTGGACGCCGTGGAGGGGGAACGACTCTTCGCGAACATTCCGCGCCGGCCACGAGACTTGTAAAGCCTTTGGACTTTAGTAGATTCGGCGGGAAGTTCAGCCGCGTTCGAACATTCTCCCCCCTGTGAGCTGTGCCTCACACGACGTCGAGAGAACTGGATGGGCAAATTTCAACGATGGAGGTGAAGGTCCAATGCCCATCGTCAGATGGTGTTCGCGTTGTCGATCAGGCCAATGACGAGTCTTACATTTGCGTGAAAAATAAAAATCTACATAATGTATACAAAGGAACGTAAGACCAGGAGAAATACATATGATATAAAAAATAATACAAAATATTAAAGTTACAATATGTGTACATCTAAGTATAATAAATAGAAAAAAAATACAAAGTATAATATAAAATAAAATTAATTAATAACACAAAAAAAATTTTTTTTATATATATCAACCAACGGGTCATTGAGCATTTGCCCAACACTGAGCGATTGACAACATCTTTGGTAATCGAGCGTAGCATAAAAAATTAAACGGGTGAGCTGAAGCAATGAGCTGAAACGTCGGCACGCGTGGTACCCACAAGGTCCCTGTACCTAACGCGACAAAAAGAACATTATTTGGTGGGTAACAATATGAGTTTAACCACTGGTCGTACGACGCTACCTGCTCGCGTTAAAACTCGAGCGACACGGACATGACCATCAGTACCGGGAAACAACTCCACTATACGACCGAGTCGCCACATCAGGGGGGGGCTTTGGTTGTCTACTACCACGACCATATCGTCCACCTTTACATTGGGGACACCCTTGGTCCACTTGGACCTCTCCTGTAGCGTAGTCAGATACTCAGAGGACCAACGGCGCCAAAAAGACTGATGACATTGATCCATCAACTTCCACCGATCGGTTAAACTACGGACGGGATCTGGACCCGATCTAGGCGGAACGGTAAGAAGCGGTTGACCTATTAAAAAATGACTAGGCGTCAAACACTCGAGGTCATGCGGGTCCGTCGAGGCGGGCGTGAGCGGACGCGAATTTAGAACGGCCTCTACGCGCGCTAATATAGTCGTAAACTCTTCGTACGTGAAGATGTGTGTCCCTATGACTCGTATTAAAAGTCGTTTTGTCGATCGCACCGCCGCTTCCCATAAGCCTCCGAAGTGGGGAGCGCTAGGCGGATTGAAGTGCCACTCGCAGATAGCACGCGAATTGGCGATAGCGGCCCGACCTTCCGGGCTGTGGATAAGCGCGCGTAATTTTTTATCGGCCCCGACGAAGTTAGTGCCGCAGTCCGAGAACACGTCGCTTGGCAAACCTCGACGGGCAATAAAACGATCGAACGCAGCTAGAAAGGCGTCGGTCGACAGGTCGGTCACCACTTCGAGGTGGACAGCTTTCGTAGTAAAACAAATAAAAACCGCAATATAAATTTTGAAAACGCGTGATTTGCGTAGTCTAGTCTCGCGCATTTGTAAGGGGCCCGCATAATCGACGCCTACACGCTCGAAAGGTCGTCGCTGTTGGACACGAGTATCGGGCAAATCTGCCATTAACGGCTGTACACGTTTAGCATCGAACCGCACACAAACCGAACAGTTTGTAATAATACTATGTAACACCGATCGAAGCGATATAATCCAAAATCGACGTGAAATAAGCGCGGTAAGAACTCGCGGGCCCGCATGACAAGTCACCAGGTGCCAACGATGGCACAATAAATATGCGTAATGCGAACGCTTGGCCAACAAAATCGGATGCTTACAATCATACGTTAATAATGAATGCCGCAGGCGTCCGCCAACGCGAATAACACCGTCCGGATCGATAAAGGGCGCTAAACGAGCAAGCGGCTTGGACGAAACATGTTTACCTGTCGACAACTCGTGTAACAGCACGGCGAAATGTACGCGCTGGGATTCAGCCTCTAATATGCGAGCGGCATGATCTAATTCCGACTTTTGCAAATATGCGGGCGCGATTTGGTCCGGTTGTCGACGTATTCGCCGAATACCGGCGGCAATAAACCGGCGCATATACGCCACTACTCGTAACATACGGTCGTAACTAGAAAAACGATTAAACCATTCGACTTCAATTTCGTCAACACGGACGGCGCAGGACACTGGACGAAGTTCGGGCAGGTCACATAACGGTAGCGGCGGACGAGCATCGTCCCATTCCGATGGGTCGCCATACGCTAGTTGTGGGCCGTGCCAATACAATTTGTGCTGCGCTAAGGCAGCCGGCATGATGCCGCGCGACGCGCAGTCGGCGGGGTTATTGACCGAGTCAACATGCCGCCATCGACAGTTCGGCAGTAAAGTGCGAATTTGGTGCACTCGATTCGATACATAAATTTTAAATGCTTCGTGCGGGGCACCTAACCATGATAACACTATCGTGGAATCTGACCACGCATTTATGCCGACAATATTAAGTTGCGGGGCCAAAATGTCGCGAACGCGACTTAACCAACGAGCCAATAACAATGCGGCGTTTAATTCTAATCGGGGGATGGTTAATGATTTTATGGGCGCTAATTTAGTTTTCGTACCAATTAAAAATACGGACGCGTTAACATCGACGTCAGCCATACGCACATACACGACCGCCGCGTAGCCGAGTTTCGAGGCGTCACAAAATCCAATTAAATAGCACGGCGCGCCGTGACTCGAGTTCAAATAACGCGGAACCCGAATATTTAATAACGACGGTAGGTCGGAGACGAACGCGATCCATTCGTCGTGAATATTGTTTGGTAAAGGATCATCCCAAGTCATGCCGAGATGCCAGGTACGCTGCATTATGGACTTAGCCAAAAATACCGCGGGAGCGAACACACCTAGCGGGTCGAATATACGCGCTACTAAAGAAAGGATGCCACGTTTAGTGCATACGGGTGCTGAGTCAAGACTTAAGGCGCAACAAAAAAGGTCCCCCTCGGGATGCCATTGTAAGCCGAGCACCTTAGTACCGTAGCCGTCGACCGATTCGAACGGCATAGGCGCACACACGCGATCTGCGGCTGATACCGCGTCTAAAACGCGTGGCGTATTTGACGCCCACTTTTTCAGTTCTAATCCCGCCTTGTTCATAACAGAAATTAAATCGGACTGCAATTTTAATACGTTCGAAATTGTATCTGCCCCGTCGCAAATGTCGTCGACATAGGTTTGACGCGTCAATGCGTTACGCACTAACTCAAA